AATACACAGTAGAAACTGTATTTTACTGAATACAGAGTAGAAACAGTGTATTCTACTGAATACAGAGTGGAAACTGTGTATTCTACTGAATACACAGTTTAGTCTGGCTCAGTGAATCTGCATTTTTACATATACAGTAGGGCAGAGGAATGGCACAATCTCAGCCCACCACAATCTCTACCTCTTGGGTTCGAAGGATTCCCTTGCCTCAGCCTCCCGAGCAGCTGGTATTACAGGCATGCACCACCACGCCTGGCTAATTTTTGTATTTTAGTAGAGTTGGGGTTTCTCCATGTTTGTCAGGCTGGTCTCAAACTCCCAACCTCAGGTGATCTGCCTGCCTTGGCTTCCCAAAGTGCTGGGATTACAGGCATAAGCCACCACGCCTGGCCAGGAAGCATATTTTGATTCTGATATTGTCAACTGTTTTTCAGGCAGAACTTGCTTTCCTTGAAGCATTAAATACTGCTTTGATATTTTATTGCAGAAATAAAGCACAGATCCCTTTTTATCATTATATTCATTACTAGCTATACTGACACCTAAATTTAGAAACATTCCAGAGTCTGTGCTTCCACACTGCAGCTGCCCCAAACTTCATCAATCACCACCTTTGTGCTGGAGACAAGGTGTTTATTTGGAGTGTTTCCCTAGGCGATTCTAATGCATTCATGACTCAGAACAACACTAGTCAAACCCTTTAATTTTCCAAAGCAAAATTTACCAAGGCCCTTAAGGGTTGAATTATGTCTTCCCCCCAAAAAATGTTCAAGTCCTAACCTCCAGTACCTGTAAATGTGACCTTATTTTTAAAATAGGGTCATTGCAAACAATCAAGATCAGGTGAGGTCAAGAGCATGAGCCGTAGTCCAATATTACATGTTCTTATGAAAAGAAGAAATTGCTGGGTGCAGTGGCTCATGCCTATAATCCCAGCACTTTGGGAGGCTGAGGCGGGCGGATCACCTGAGGTCAGGAGTTCAAGACCAACCTGACCAACATGGAGAAATCCTGTCTCTACCAAAAATACAAAATTAGCTGGGCGTAGTGGCGCATGCCTGTAATCCCAGCTACTTGGGAGGCTGAGACAGGAGAATCACTTGAACCCAAGAAGCAGAGGCTGGGGTGAGCCGAGATCTCGCCATTGCACTCCAGTCTGGGTAACAAAAGCAAAACTCTGTCTCAAAAATAGTTTTTTAAAAAGGAGAAATTTGGACACAGATATACACATAGGGAGAACCTCATGTGGAGATGAAGGCAGAGATTGGGGAGAACTGTCAGCAATCCGGCAGAAGCTGGGAGGAGGGCAAGAACCAGATTCTCCCTCCCACCCTCAGAAGGGATCAAGCCTGCCAACATCTTGGTCTGGGACTGCTACCTTCCAGGGCTGTAAGATAATCAATTCTTGTGACTTAAGCCACCACGTATATGGTGCTCAGTTATTATAGCAACCCCAGGAAACCGGCGTACAGGCAAAGTTTAAAAAAAAAAAAAAAAAAAAAGTAATCAGTGACAGAGCTTGGACTAAAACACAAGTATCCTTCCTCCCAGCCATTCTGCCATGTTCTCGTCCCTCTCAGACCAACCAGTAGCAGATGGTGAAAGCTAGACCAGAACTCTTCTCCCTGGACTGCTGGGGAAAAAACTGCTATGGAGTTTTAAGCAGACTGAACATCTATTGAGTCTTCCCTGTCCTAAAACAAAATCAGTAATTTGCTGCAATTCTCTTCAATGCCTGACAATGTATTAAGTTTTTTGGGGGGATATTTTTAGTTTTTAATTATTATTGGCCGGGCACCGTGGCTCACGCCTGTAATCCCAGCACTTTGAAAGGCCGAGGCAGGAGGATCACCTGAGGTCAGGAGTTTGAGACCAGCCTGGCCAACATGGTGAAACCCTGTTTCTACTAAAAATATAAAAACTATCTGGGTGTGGTGGGCGCCTGTAATCCCAGCTTCTCGGGAGCCTGACGCAGGAGAATGGCTTGAATCCACATGCGGAGGTTGCAGCAAGTCATTACCACCGCACTGCACTCCAGCCTGGGTGACAGAGCGAGACTCTGTCTCAAAATAAATAACTAAATTCTTACTAGCTTAAGGACTAGGTTAGAATGTTAGAGCCAGAAATGGGTTCCAAGGAAGAAAACAGGGAGAATGCAGGCTCCCCAGCCTATCAAATGAAAGCCAAGGTCTTGCCTCTATCCACAAACTTGTCACTTCTCAGAAAAAAGATTATCCAAATGTCCCTGCATGACCCCGTGGTGCTTTATTCTTCTGTGCCAGGGACTGGACATTTGAGAGATGAATGCCTCCCTGGAGAATCCAAGGTACGGCCACCTGGGCCACTGCTACCTGTATCCTTTGCCTCTCGGAGGTGACCTCAAATTCATCTCTTTCATGTTCATTTATGGGAGGCTGGTGGAAATGTCCTTGCAGGCACTACTAGTGAAGCTTCTGGGGGAGATAACTCTTACTGTCAGTTTCCTGCTTACAGCCTGATAATCCATCACCAGGCCTGGCTCTTAGCAAAACTGTCATGAGGATAAGTCTGTCATCAACTGTCAAAACTCTCCTCCCCCAGCCAGACTCTACTCCCAGGGTGTATGTTCTCTTTCCTGGCTCCACACAAATCCGCCCTGTTAGGCTCAATGTCGGTCACCTACCGTTCAGTTTCCAATTTGCCCCCAGAAGTTACTTCTGCCAGGATGCACTCATTTTAAGTTTCTGATTGTATAAGGAAAAGTTTTTACCTGCCTAAGAAAAATTTCAGGCATCAGTAAGCAAACTGAGAAAACATGGAGAGGGAATTAGGGAGGCCTAACTAGACCCCCTCAACGCCACTGAGGCACGTAACGTCAGATCACGGAGTGGTCAGCCAGGCAGCAGCCTGACGCACCAGGGAGCTAAACCATTATGGCAACCAGTTGGAAAGACAATGCTGTTTAATGTGAGCCTCCAGGCCCGTGGCTGGCAAACTCCCACAAACCTGAAAATAGGAAAAAGACTTCTGAAGGGCACTCAGTTCCCACTGCAAAGTGTACATGAAGATTGCCAAGGTGCCATCCCAAACTCGAACACTGGTGGTTACAATCTGCCCAAATTGTGAAGCCAAGTGTTGCATGACATTGTTGAATGATACGCTATTCCCGGAGAACGAGTAATTAATTCTATTACATCAATTTTAGTTTTAGAAACAGGGTTGTTCAGGCTGAAGGGCAGTGGCGCCATCACAGCTCATTGTAACCTCCAGCTCCTGGGCTCAAGCCATCCTCCCACTCAGCCTTCCACGTAATTGGGACTACAGTGTCCACCACTGCCCTCATTTTTAAAATTTTTGTTGTAATCTCCAACTCCTGGGCTCAAGCGATCCTCCTGCCTCAGCCTTCCAAGTCGCTGGGACTACAGGTGTGCACAACTGCCCTGGCTAATTTTTAAAATTTTTGTAGAGCCAAGGTCTTGCTATGTTGCCCAGGCTGGTCTCGAACTCCTGGGCTCAAGGAGTCCTTTCACCTCAACCTCCTAAAGTGCTGGGGTTACAGGTGTGATCCACTGTGCCTGGCCCTATTACATTAATCTTCAATATTTTACCTTCTCAGCATGTTTGCTGGTTCGGAAAACACATATACCTTTGTTTTGAACATCCAATTTGATGAAAAGTAAGTTTCTGTCTTCTAACTACATTTTTAATAAAGAACATTGAGGCCAGCAATTTATTAGCTTATCCAGAATCCCCATATTTCATCTTGGTCTCGCTACAGCTCACGCTTCCAGAGGTCCGCGCCTGCCCTCCAAACTGTTTTTGTTCCAAGAGAGGACCCTTCTTTAGCACCTGAAAGGTCATGAGGGACAGGCACAGGGCCACCCAATCTGGGGCAATAAGCGTTCATCATTCCTCCCCCACCTCCTCCAGTCGGGTTCCAGCCAGCCAATGCTGCTGCTTAGAGAAGGCGGCCCGGTTTAGTCATTGGCTAACGCAGAGGCTTCCCCAGTCCAAGCCAGCCCTCAGCTGGCAGCCCCACGAACTGCAGTTAGGCCTGGCACTGGAGTGGGGAGCGGACTTCTCTGCTGAGGCCATTTATTTACGGTCTTGTTTGTGGAGCTGGGTGGCCGGGGCTGCGCAGGCTGGCCCCGCCTCCTCGTGTTTACTCCTTCAGCCGTGTCCAGTTTCCTCACCTTCCTCTCCAGCGCTCAGCAAAGCCGGTCACCAGCGCGCACCAGCCCGGGGCACTCCGCCTTTCAGGGCAACTAGTTTATCCTTCCCGGGCTGACCTCCCTTCCCCCAGCCCCAGGCTATTTCCAGTCGTCTCCACCTGTTCCTGAGACTTTGAGTACCTCGGGGCAGAACCAGGGAAGCGCCCGAGGCCTCCCGTTCGCCCCCACCTGTCCCACCCCACAGCTCTCCGCTTCTCCAGGGCTAGGCTGGGACCGCGGGCTGTGTGTCCAGGACCGCCGCGTCCCCGAGCCCCACTGCCAGCAAGGCTGCCAAACTCCGAAAGTTAAACCCCGAACTCGTGCCCTGGCTTCTCCTGGTTTTGCAGACGCGTTCGCGAAGTTCCACCGCTGGACCCAACGCGACAGCAGCGGCAGTCCTCAGCGCTAGGAGACGCTGCCAGGAAGCACCGGCATCTGCAGTTGCCTTCCTCGTCCTCTCTTCCCCCTGCTCCAGTTTCCTGGTCTTGCCCTAAGCACCCTCGTACCTCCGTTCCTTCTACCCCAATCGGACACTGGATCTCTGCCCCTCTGCGGTCGACTCTGTGAACTTCCCCTCGGCCACCCAACCCGACCGACGCCTGGAGAATTTCACCGGCCGCCGCATCACCGCCCTTAAAGACACCTCGGGTCCTGGCAGGTGGGGGACGGCGGAACGGGGGCGCAGCGCCCCAGCCTCAAACACCAAAGCAGGCCGGGAACCCCCCCGCCACCCGCTTCCACCCACCTGCCCCACGCCACCCGGAAAGAAAAAAAATCCCAGTCCCACTGCGACTTCCGAACGGCCCCCACCTCGGCGCGGCTCTTGAGGCTGCTCCGCTTAGGTCGGAGCAGGACATCCTTGAAGTCGAGCTTGAGGTCCGCGTCTATGCGGGGCATGGCGCGGCGGCTCCGGGCGGCGGTGGCGGCGGCGGCGGCGGCGGCGGCGGTGGCGGTGGCGGCGGGGTGGCACGGCAGGCGCCGGGGCTGCTGTGCCGCGGCCAGGAGCTGGCGCTGGCCGGGCGCGCACGCCGCGCTCTTAAACCCGCCCGCCGACCCGCGGTCACGCTCAGCCCGCCCCGGGCGCCGCCTCCGCCCCGGGCAGGGGCTGCAAGGCCGGCTGGTTAAGGACGCACCGGCGGCTGAGTCTTTCCTCCTCTCCCCCGCCCCCGCCTCCCCCACCGGTGTACAGCACGTGGAGGTGACCAAATGGGGACGGGGGAGGGAAATGCGCACCGTCCTGTTTGTCCCCAACGTCCCGATGGGGAGGGGACTTAGCATGGGCCTGCCTTATCCAGGGGAAAAGGTCTCTCCCTGTGAGCTTTTACTTTTTTTTTTTTTTTTTTTGAGACAGCCTCACTCTGTCGCCCAGGCTGGAGTGCAGTGGCGCTGTCGCCGCTCATCGCAGACTCGACCTCCTGGGCTCAAACGATTCTCCTTCCTCAGCATCCGGAGTACAGGCACACGCCTCCACACTCGGCTTATTTTTTAAAATATTTCCTGGAGGCGGGGGTTTCGCCATGTTGCCCAGGCTAATCTCGAACTTCAGACCTCAAGTGATCCGCCTGCCTGGGCCTCCCAAAGTGCTGGGATTACAGGTGTGAGCCGCCGCGCCCGGCTGCTTTCTCGTTTCTTTCTTTCTTTCTTTTTTTTTTTTGCTTTCTCGTTTCTTAAAATTCAAGCCCGGTGTGCTCACCCAGTGCTGAGGGGCACGCCTCTCACTTGCCAAAGAACCAGAAACCCCAGGGAGTTTGGATAAAATTAAGGAGAAGAGCGTGGGCAATTAACTGTCTCGCTCTACTGGATTTGTTGAGGTCATGATTCCCTTTGGACTTTTTGTTGTTGGTGTTGTTAAGAGACAAGGTCTCACTGTCTGGATTTCAGGATTTTTGTTTAAGGAAAACAGAAGTAAGTCAAAGCAAATCTCCTCCCGAGATTTGAGGAGCCTGAGTCTCCCCTGAGGGTTACCAGTGATGTGAGTTCATTAATTCACTTGTTGACCCCACTAGGCCTTTATTATACACTCGGAATGTGCTGCAGGGCTTCATGCACTTTCATTCACTCTCAGAACAATCCAATGAAGAAAGAGCCATTTCACAGATAAGGTAAAACAGGGCTCCTATAAATGAAATAACTTGCCCAAAGCTGCAGAAAAATTAAACATAAATTTCTCAGTCCTTAATACTTGCTACAACTCTTCACTGAAGCTGCTTTTGTCCTGTGGCATCTCTTTGCCTGAGTTCAAAATCTGCCTCTACCACTTTCTAGCTAGGTGACCTTTGGGGAGTCAATTTCTCTAAACCTCAGTTTTCTCATAAAAGGGGTGGGGTGGGGTGGGAGGGGGTTAACTCTATCTCCTCCCAGGTTTTTGTGAGAATTAAAGTGTGTGTGTTTAAGCACAATGTGTGTTCCATAGTGGTTGCTCAATGCATGCTAGTTACTGATTTGTAGTCACATGTTGTGTGCATTATGGTTTGTATTCTCAAACTAGAATACTAACTGCACAAAGGCAAGAATCATCTTTCATCCTCTTCCACTTCTCTGCAGCCTCCAACTGTCTTCTGTGAGCTGTCATATAAGGCTGACCATAAAAGATACATCACAGTATTCACTTTAACACAAACGTCTGAAGATGGTAAAGGTCTCAGCCCATCCCATATGCTCTCATTAGCTATACCCCACAGGAAGTTCATGAAGTTTCAGGGAAGGAAATGAAACTTATCAGAGAGAGAATGAAAGTAACCACAATTAGTCCGGCCCATGAAATGTTCATGACCCTTGACAAATTCTTGGGAGCTGAGCGGACGTGCTGCTTATTTGCAAAGTACTGAAAGGAAACCTAATTCTGATCTTTTAAAGATAAAATAGAAGTAAAATATAATTACAAGATGGTATGATTATTTTTAAATTATTCTGCCTAAAGGGAAGAGAAACTGACCTTGCTAAGCATCTGCCGGAGTGAAGTACACAGGTGGGTGAGGCTTTATTCATTGTTTCATACAGGGTCGTAAAGGAGAAGCTTCTGTAGGTTGTCCTTGCTCTTTCCCTCTGGTCCTCCTTGTTTCTTGCCAGCCTCCTTCTATTAGAATAGACAAAGAAGTTCATTTTACACATTCCATTCCCTCTCCCTCTGGAACATTCTGTTATAATTGCCCTCTTCCCCAACACAAAATCATACTCCTGTTAGAGTCAGCCTAAGTCCCTGATTCTTCTGAAACTGGCTTTACAAAAATTATGACAGAAAAATCTGATATAGGAAAATGAAGACAGTGAAAAAAATCTGACTTAACTGACTCCATCTTGCTTTTAACCTCTAAGGTGTCCTTGTTCAGTTCTGCTTATAGGCTGAGCTAACTATGGAAGGAATTGAGTTTCTGGTTTAACTTTGAAACAAAGATGAGAACAGCACCTTCCCAAAACAAACCCACTCCTTGCTTGGCAACCCCCCCACCTTTGTAAAACTAACAAAGCAGCCACAAGATTACAAATCATGCTCTGGCTTCATGTAGCCAGAGGCCACAAGATTCCTAACCTCCCCAGTTGCTTCTAGGAATAACATATTGTAAAACCTAAGATTGGTGTTAGAGATATGTTTCAGTCAGTCCGTGCATTCTGATTGACCAGCTGTCACCACCCTCACCAGTAGACTGGCTTAGCTAGTTCAGTGATCCCACTCAGAAACGGAAGACAGCCAGAAAAATCCACTTTGACACCCTCTTGATTTCATTCACCACCTGACCAATCAGCATTCCCCACTCCCTGGCTCCTGCCCACCAAGGTATCCTTTAAAAAGCCTAGGCTCTGAATTTTCAGGGAGACTGATTTTAGTAATAAAACTCCAGCTCCTGTTAGCTGGCTCTGCATTTATTAAACTCTTTCTCTATTGCAGTAATACTGTCTCAGTAGATTGGCATTATCTATGCAGCAGGCAAGAAGAACCCATAGGGCAGTTCCACTCCCACACCAAGTGAGACTCCTTTCAACATTCTCTGGATCTTATACGTATTTCTTTTCTTTCTTTCTTTCTTTTATTTATTTATTTATTTATTTTTTTGAGACGAAGTCTTGTTCTTGTAGCCAAGGTTGGAATGCAATGGAGCACTCGTAGCTCACTGCAACCTCTGCCTCCCGGGTTCAAGCAGTTCTCCTGCCTTAGCCTCCCAAGTAGCTGGGATTACAGATGCCCACCACCATGCCCAGCTTATTTTTTGTATTTTTAGTAGATGGGGTTTCACTATGTTGGCCAGGCTGGTCTTGAACTTTTGACCTCAGGTGATCCACCCACTTTGGCCTCCCAAAATGCTAGAATTACAGGCGTGAGCCACTGCATCCAGTCTCTTGTATGTATTTCTGCTTCTCATTACTCTAACACACAATAATAGCTTCCCATCAATACAATGACTTTATGTTAAAGTTTTCACTCTCTAGACAAAGCCACAAGTGATATCTAGAATTAAATTTGTTAACATTATATTATGGGAGGGGAGGGTTATCTACAAAATTATGTGGGATAAATTCCACTTGGTCACAGTGCATAATCCTTTTTTGTATTGATGGATCCTATTTGCTGATATTTTGTTAAGGATTTGTGCATCTGAGCTCATAAGGGACATTAGTCTGTAGTTTTCTTTTGATGTCTTTATCAGGGTAATATCAGCCTCATAGAATTAATTGGGAAATGTCCGATGCTCCATTTTCTGAAAGAGCTTGTGTAGGATTGGAATTAGTTATTTAATATTTTATAGAATTAATCAGTAAACTAAAATTATGTGGAGTAATAAAATGGTTTATTTTTAGTAAATAAGTATCTCTCAAAACCCAGAAATAAAGTTGAGTATTAAAGGCTTTTTGATAATTCAAAATTATAGTATTTACTATTAAGGGGATAAGAACAAATCTGGAACCATCACACTACCTGATTTCAAACTATACTGTAAGGCCATAGTCACCAAAATATACAGCATGGGACTGGTATAAAAATAGGCACAAAGACCAGTGGATCAGAATAGAGAACTCAGAAATAAACCCAAATACTTAGAGCCAGGTGATCTTCAACAAAGCAAATGAGACCGGGTGCGGCGGCTCACGCCTGTAATCCCAGCACTTTGGGAGGCCGAGGCGGGTGAATCACGAGGTTAAGAGATCGAGACCATCCTGGTCAACACGGTGAAACCCCGTCTCTACTAAAAATACAAAAAATTAGCTGGGCATGGTGGCGCGTGCCCATAATCCCAGCTACTCAGGAGGCTGAGACAGGAGAATTGCCTGAACCCAGGAAGCGGGATTGCGGGTGAGCCGAGACCGCGCCATTGCACTCCAGCCTGGGTAACAAGAGCGAAACTCCGGCTCAAAAACCACCACCACAACAACAACAACAACAACAACAAAAAGCAAACTAAAACATAAAGTGGGGAAAGGACACCCTATTCAACAAATGGTGCTGGGATAATTGGCTAGCCACACGTAAGAGAATGAAACTGGATCCTCATCTCTCACCTTATACAAAAATCAACTCAACATGGATTAAGGGGCTGCGTGAGGTGGCTCATGCCTGTAATCCCAGCACTTTGGGAGATCGAGGCAGGCAGATCACCTGAGGTCGGGAATTTGAGACTAGCCTGGCCAATACAGTGAAACCCCGTCTCCACTAAAAATACAAAAATTAGCTGGGTGTGGTGGCACGTGTCTGTAATCCCAGCTACTCGGGAAGCTGAAGCAGGAGAATCACTTGAACCCAGGAGGTCGAGGTTGCAGTGACCCAAGATTGGGACACAGCACTCCAGCCTGGCGACAGAGTGAGACTCCATTTAAAAAAAGAAGAAGAAGAAGATGGATTAAGGCCTTAATGGAGGAAAAATCTCCAATGGAAAAACCCTTCTAGACATTGGCAAGGATTTCTTGACCAGGCACCCAAAAGCAAATGCAATAAAAACAAAGATAAATATAAATAGCTGGGACCTAATTAAACAGCATGGCAAAAAGAACAGTCAGCAGAGTAAACAGACAACCCACAGAGTGAGAGAAAATCCTCACAATCTATACATCT